TTGATATAACGAATTTTTTGAACAAATATAATAAAAATACTCTTGTTATAGTGAATTGGCCAATCAAATCTCTTAAAGTCTTCACTATAGCCTTATAGCGAAGTTGAGGTTTAAGACATAGAGTTTGTTATAATAAGAGTTGACTATAGTTTCACATTTTTATAAGATTTGATATAGTTTTACCTTTTTCAGAATTTCGTAGATTTTTTAATAAGGTTTTAATATAATTTTGCTAAATTTTACTTTTTTCCATTTAAACGACTTGTAAAACCTTTAGGTTTCATCCAGCAACCTTATTTACTACATTTTTATATAATAATTAAATCTAAAAAAAGGGATAAAAGATAAAAGATCTTGATTTAATTTTATATTTCAAAATTACATCTTAGTTTTTTTTAAATTTATATTTATTAAATTTTATTTAAAACTAATAATTAAAATAAAAAAATAAAGAAAGATTATTAAATATAATAATAAAATATTATAAAGAAGAGTAAATAAAAAAAAAAAAAATTAGGCCTTTTATTTATAAGATAAATAATTAGTTTAATTATATATTGGTTATATATAGTATTATTATAATCAAATAAATATATTTGATAATAAACTTAAATAAAAAAATTATTGTAAAACATAAATGAAACTATGAATTAAACTTAAAACTGAACTGAAAAATATATTTACAGAGTATGTGTATTGATTGAGAATACCTTTATAAAAAATTGATTATATATTAAGTTTATAATTAAATTTAATATTAGAAAAGTCAGAGGGATTATATAACTTTTTACTTTTAATTATATTAATAATAACTTGATTCTAATACGTGATGTATATGTGTATCTTGATTCCTTGCCAAGGATCTTGGAAATGGTACAACTACCAGTAATGATGCTCTAGTGGACCATGAAAAGAAAAAACCAATATCGCACTATACCGATGTTATTGGTCTCAACCATTTATACGATAAACAGATGCATAATAAATAACTTGGTGCTTTTATATACAGCAAATGACAAACGATAACTCTTATTTTTACGGAAACGTTGAATTTAATTTTCTACCAGAAATAAAAAAAAAATAATAAAAATAAATAATATCACGCAATCTGGATTTAGAAATTCAAGAACAACAAAGATTAATAAGCCGCGCAAAAAAGCAAAACCGCCAAAAATTAAAAAGTTTATTAGTACTTACTATAAATGGCAGGAAAAGAAAATTTTTTACTTGTTTTGTTATTTTGAAACTGTTTACTTTCAAGGGTGAAATCTTCGAATACAATGTGCATTGATATTATTTAACTACCAATCATGATATTTTAGTTCATGATTTGCAAATTTTTTTTTTTTTTTTGTGCGATCTAAACAATGCAGCTAAATAAATATGAATTTATATAAATGCCTACATGTTCATCTTGTTAATTTATTTTTTTTCATCCTTTTTTTCATTCATTCAATGGACTCATCGCCCCCAAAATATAATGGGACGCAAAATCCTGAAGAGTGGTTAAAAGAATTCCGTTTTTTTTGTTTACTTCGTGGAATTCACGAAGAGCATGAAATGTTAGAATTAGCGTTATTAAAAATCGATAATACCATTCCTATACCGAAGGAGGGGATATCTTCATTTTCAGATTTATCGAACCTTCTAAAAGATCACATAACTTATACCTTACAATGTAAAGTGGCATTTGAGGAATTAAAAGGAATTAAATATAATGTAGATGTGAACATAGTTGATTTTATAGCAAAATTTCTTTCGCTTTGCGCTAATTCTCATGTTATAAACGTTCAAGATCAAAAAACTTGTTTAGTTCAAGCATGTCCTGATGATGTTGTTAGAGATATCTTTATAAATAAAATCAAAAAACAACCTTCTATGCATAGAGTGATTGAAATTTTTCATGATACCATGACAGAATATAAAAGTCAAATAAGATATGGATCAAGAGTAGCATTAAAGCACGTCGTCACTAGTCAATATTTATCACACGGAAATAAACATAAGCCTGACCCGCTGAGAGCAAATTTATCTGAGGTATTTGATTAAGAGGAACAAATAATTTGAGATAGAAAATCATAATCTAACGGATTTTATTAATTGTAGGTATTCTGCAGTAGTTGGAAACGGAGTGAAAATGATATTTGGATCGTAACAGCTACTTACGGTCAGAATAAAGCGCCTGGTGATCCGATTTTTTTTAATTCTATGATTCAATTGGTTCATGAAAAAACACGAGAAGCATTATTCGGTGACGAGGGTCAATTAAATTTATCAGGAGGTAATCAAATCTTTGACAACAGTTTTTTTTTTTTTTTTCTCGTTTTTTTTTTTTTAATTTCTAAATTTTCAAATGGCAGCATGGGTGTGGACGCTAACAGATCCGAGAACGAATTGGATCGTTCAAAGTCACGATCTTTTACATTATGATAATCCGGACTACGTTATGGATGGAGATATAATTACTTTACGACATAATCTTAATAAAATGTCCTTACAGAGTCATGAGTTTAAAAATTCTGAAGGAAATCAAGAAGTCATCATCCACGGTGATGGCCAAGGAGACATTCATAAGGTACAATGATCAGGTGAACTTTTCCGAATAAAAACAAAAAAATACTGATATTGTCTTTTTTTTACAGTGGCGGATTGAACTTGTTTCATAATTTAATTTATTTAGTTACAATTCCCTTTATTTATTATAATCCTTTGTCTCTTTGTAATATAAACATTATAAAATCATACATCATTTATCAAATAAAAGTAATAAGGACAATTGTGGCACAGTACTTACATTCGTAATTCGTAATGCAAATTACACATGACTTTTTTTTTTTAAAGTTATGAACACGAGTTATGAACGCATGAATACCCTATTTTTTATGCCTAAAGTGGGAAATCACAATTCGACGATCCTCGGAACCCTAGCTCCGTGTATTTATTCTGACCCTCCTTTTTATCCCCTCCCCCCCCCTTAAATGCCAATGTATTTACGTATGCCCTGCCCCTATTGCATCACTGTGTCACACAACTTTATGCTACCTTATTTAATAGTTCGAAAAATTCCTGATTTTCGAAAATTTTTTATTTCATAATTTTCACATTCTCCATCCATAATTTATCATGTTTAAACGAAAGTCGACCGCTATTAATAATATTCCTACTTTGACCCCGAGAGCAAAGTCTCCACCGTTAAATAAACGTACTTCGATAACGTCTCCAAGATTTTATGAAATTCTTGATTACGTAGCCACCAAAATGAATGGTAAAAATTCTATGGTCGTTGTTTCGAATGTTAATTTTTTTTTTTTATATGATGCTAATTTGATAATCATAAAAATGATAGTTCCATTACATTTTGGTAGTTTTATGAAGAGGCGTTTTAACAAGGATGATATATCGGCACCTCGGGACTTCGAGTAAGAATCCTTTTAATAATAATGCCATTTTACTGTCAGGCTTTGCTCAAGCTTGGTCTTAATTTTGCTACTTGTCCATTTGTAGGCATCTTATTCATACAGAGAGCGGGGAACAGGCTGAAGACTTTTTAGTTTATTTGAATAATCAAACTTTGAGTAAATGTCCAGGTAAGGATCAGCATTTTCCACTGGTTTTTTTTTTTTTTTTTTTTTTAAGAAAAAAATTAAAATAAATTTTTTAGGTGATACGATACATTATAAAACGTTTTCAAAGCAATTCGATGGAGAACCATTAATTCCTGACATTGAAATAAATAAAAGTGGAACCGTTATAATTAAAAATTATGCCAAAGATAAATTACCTATTGATGATAGCGAATTTTTAAATCAAATAGTTCCTTCTTTGACCACAATTGAAAAATCTGTAGCAGCAAAGGTTTATTTCGAAAATTATTTCTATGGAATTCTCAAAAAACCTTCGGGAAGATCCAAGCGTCGAATGCAATTAGAAACAGATCTCGAGAATATGAAAATTTCAGATCAAGATAAACGGGAGATAAGGCAAGAATGGCTTAACCTAGAATCTGATTACATGCGTTTATTACGTAGAAAAATTACGATCAATTCATTTCAAATAATTAAAACCGTTGGTCATGGAGCCTTTGGTGTTGTTAAGTTGGTTCGTGATCATACAACTGGTGTTACATATGCTATGAAAGTCATGAGAAAAGCTGATATGTTGAAGAAAGGTCAAGAGGGTCATGTTAAAGCCGAAAGAGATCTTTTAACCGCAGCCGCGGAGACCGCTCAATGGATTGTTAAATTGAATTATTCCTTCCAGGATGTTGATCATTTATATTTAGTTATGGAATATATGCCTGGTGGTGATTTATTAAATCTTTTAATTGAAAAAGATATATTTGAAGAGGAATTTGCTAAATTTTATGTTGCTGAAATGATTTTATGTATCGAAGAGGCTCATAAAATGGGTTATATCCATCGGGACGTTAAGGTGAATGTTTAAAAAAAATTTTATTGAAAGTAAATTTTTTTTTTTTTGGCAAATGAATTAATAAGCTTCATCATTTTTAGCCCGATAACTTTCTTTTCGATGGGGAAGGGCACATAAGACTTTCAGATTTTGGATTGGCGACCGATTTCCATTGGGTACATGATTCACATTATTATGAGCAGCAGCGAAGAGATCTTTTACGTAAAACGGGAGTTGATCTTGAAACGGATACACTATCAAAGGCAATGGCTAAAAAATATAGAACACCCAAATGGATGGATCAATGGTCCGATGAAGATGTATCAGATAGTGATGTTCCTAATACAAGAGTGTTAAGTTGGAGAGACAAGAATCGAAAAAAGATGGCATTCTCCGTCGTCGGGACAAATAATTATATGGCACCGGAAGTATTAAGAGGAACTGGATACAATAGAGGCTGTGATTGGTGGAGTTTAGGAGTAAGTAACTCATCAAGATTTTGGTTTTTTTTTTTTTTTGAGGAAGAGTTGTTTATTGAATAAATGCACTCGCAATTTTTTTTTTTTTAGGTTATTATTTTCGAAATGTTATACGGATATCCTCCATTCAGTTCAAAGACTCGTCATGCAACTCGTCAAAAGATAGTTAATTGGCGCCAATACCTTCGTTTCCCATCCCGTCCCCGAGTTTCACGTGAGGTCCAAGATTTAATAGAGAACCTTATATGTGAAAAAGAAGATCGTTTAGGATCAAAATCGACATCATCGGCAGTAAAACCAAATGGACTTTATATGGCAAATCGTAAATCAGCTGTTTTAGGTCTCGGGGACGCATCAGAAATTAAATTACATCCGTGGTTTAAAGGGATTGATTGGGAGAATTTACATAAAAAGACACCACCTTTTAGACCGCAATTAAGCTCAGAAATCGATACGAGATATTTCGAAGATAACATTGATGATAATCCATTGGCACCACCTGGAGGTGAAGTTGAAAGGAAACCGAAAGATCCGATGTTGAGGGATAAAAATCATGGCAAGGAAATTTTAAAGATGAGAAAAGAATTAGCATTTAAAGGATATACTTACAAAGGACTACCTTTGGAAAATCAGAGGGGTGGTATGGCTGAAAGGGTCAAAAAAAGGGGGAGTGGAATTAAAAACGATATGAGTTTAAGGGTTAGGTCTATGAGTTTATGATTTTTTTTTTAATTTTAATTTATAATGGGTTGGGTATGTATCGGCTAATTAATTTTTCATAATGTATATATACTAATACTATTAATTCATTCCCCTTATTATCATAATTTTTTTTTTCCTTTAAAAAAAAGTTTATTATATTATTTAACCGAATATTTATTTATTTTCTAATAATGTATTTTTAAAAGACTTTGATTAATAAAGACAAAAAGTCGAAATTCTGGAAATTTGACTAGTTAAAAAAAATACGTTACATCAAATTTTAATTTATGCATTATGTGTATGTGTGTGTTATATTTAGATTTCCGATAATGTCGATCATTAACACATGACAAATTATTAATGCTTATATAATAGGATAATCGGGGATTAAAAAATTTATTTAAGAGTGCCAAGTTATGTTTGTTTTTCTTAAAAAAAAAAAAAAAAAAAAAAAAAAAAAATTATAAAAAAAATGCAATTCGTATTAAAAGATTTATTACCTGTTGTAATTAACATTAAAAATGGTGAAACGGTTCATCAGGTTGTAAAGAAATCGATCGATTGAGAATCGAACCAATAAAGGTTAATAATCTTTTTTTTTTTTCCAATGTAGCGTGTCTTGCTGATTTATGGACGAGCGGGTCCACGTGATGTGAAATTTCAATCAAACATCACGGTTGAACATCATGCGACCAATTTTCCATCCACCACTTGGCCGGTTTTTAATTCTCACTTCAAATGTTTAGTACATCTTGACCCCGGATCTAATGATATCAAACTCATCCTTGATAAACAGGGTATACAATTTTCTCATGATTCCGAACCACTAACAACGATACTTCAAGTGAATTATATCCCATTATTACAAAATCCTCCGTTACATCTGGCGATCCTCGTGGCAAAGGATTCCAAAGAGGTGATTGATGCTCCAAAAGAGAAAGAAAAAAGTGGTGAAAATAAATTAGAATCTGTCATAGCGAAACTTCGTTGTGCCGGTTATTTATGGCAAGCATTTACGGCAGAGCAAATGAGTCGTAATGAATTTGGGAGGAGGGTGTTTAGATTGGAAGAAGAATGGATAGAGGACACGCTTTCCAATCAAAAACCTGGATTAAGACAAACGGCAAAAGTTCATATCATTCGTAGTTCTTACACGTTAGAACAAATTTTAGATCCGGATATAGCTCAACAAAATCCCAATAGGAATGATGATAAAAAAGATTTATACTCCATGTTCATGGATGGGTTAAAAGAATATGGGGTACCATTCAATAATCAGTGCTACGTCGCGGGATTAATATTAGATTCTCACTATGAAAACTCACATGACATGAAGTTGGTCAGAGGTCATGCCGCGTTAGGAGGTGGCGGAGGTAACCTTCAATTAGGAATTTTTGGTAGTCATTTGACTCACGCTTGGCCAAGACATCTGGAAGAAGTTGTTGATTGCTTTCAAGATGATACCATAACCGATGAGACTAGATTATCCAACGATGTGGGAGAATCTGGAACCTGGTGGAAATGTTGTAATGTCGGAATCGGAGCCTTCTTGCATGAAGTTGGACATTGTTTGGGAGCGCCTCATTCACCCAGTGGAATCATGGCACGAGGGTTTAACAATTTAAATCGTACATTCACGGTTAAGGAACCAAATAATCCTTCGCCAATAACACCGTCCGATGAGAATGGTGCGCATTGGCATCGATGTGACATCATAAGGTTTAGATATCATCCATGTTTCCGTTTGCTTTCAGATCCACCATTATCGACCGAATTTAAAAATCTCAGTGCGGACTTTTGGCTCTTAAATGAATTTATATTAATTAAATCCCCTTCAGGTATTTCATTGATTGAATTTCACGTTGAAGAATCACTTAGGGATTATATAGAATACGTTCATGATGATAATCATCAAACCGAGGTTCGATTAAAAATCTCCGAAATCATTGAAAAATATGAAAAATATGATGACAATCGTGTCATTAAATTGAATGTTATATCCAAGAATCAAACCGAACATTCCTTAAGTAACTTACAAAGATTCTTGAGAGAAAGTAAAATGATTTTACCCATATATGGAGAGGTAATTAAATCCCCTTATTTGGGAAAACTTGATGAAAGGTTAACCGAATTTCGAGTTTTTTTTAACAAATTTATCGCCAATGAAAATGAATCGGTTAAATTAAAGAGAATGGTTGTTCAATATGATTATTACATTAATGGGATCACATTCTTTTGGTCCGATGGTACACATTTATCCGTTGGTAAAGATCGTGGTAATAAGAAAGAATTTAGATTTATGGAAGGAAACGAAGAAATTGTGGAATTAAAAGTTAATTCCGGATGGTATATTGATGGATTTGAAATCAAGACCAATTTGGGTAGAAGTAGTGAATGGTTTGGTAAACATGGTGGGGATGATCACATCTTAAAGGTGCCTAATAATCATGAATTTGAATCGATTGGCCTTTATGGTACCGGTGATGATTTTGTTAATACTTTAGGACTTATTTATAAACTTAAGTGACATTGATGTTTAAATTGAATTAATTGTGTTGTACAGTGTTTCTGTTTATTTAATAAACATTCCATTTATATGTAAATCAATCTTGGAGCGTATTTTTTTTTTGATACGCCCCTTTTTTAAAGCGCATCAAAAAAAAATCACTAAAGTTTATGTTTATCAAATTCATATGAATTTCGAACCCCATGAGTCTTCCTAGAATTAGACATCTTTGAAAGAAAAATTGAAAAAGTATTCCATAAATTATATCCTGTATGTAAGAACAACGTCCAACTTACTAGCAAATATTCTTTCCTCGTTCGATAATAATAATGGGTAATGAATTTTATATTTTCGTTTGACGAAAATACAAAAAGCGGATCAAGTTCAATAAATAATCTAGTGTATACTCCTCAAATATATGGGGTATTAAAATAAAGGAATTATTTTTTTTTGAACTGGATTAACTTTTTTTTTTTTTTTTTTTTGAACATACGCGTATCTTAACAATCCGTTCCTTAATTGGTTTATTTAATCTTGGAAGATATGATTTTATTGTTTGATCACCGTTTTGTGGATTCTAAATTTGGCTTTTTAATTACAAAAAGGTTCCTTTGGCTTCAAGCTTTAAAGCAATGATAATCCCAATGATGTTCATGGATCCAACTTATTATTTTTTTTTTGGCTTTATAAGACTTGAATATCAAGCATCTCAAGTATATATGGTTAAAAATAGAGAAAACTTTGGTAAGCGATTTGGCAGGAAATAAACGGTTAAAGGATCAAAAAATGTATTTGAATAAATAGATCACAAACCAAAACCGAAATATTTAATGTTCATTGAAACCATTATCTCAGTTATCATAATATTCCTATACAGACAAATATAATCACGTGTATTTCGTGACATAACATCTCTTTTTCGCGTTAAGCAAGGTATATTATATACAGTATATATTTTTTAACTATTTAATAATTAAATGCATTTTGGCGTTTCAGAATATTATTTCGCTTTAATATTTTCTGGATCAGTGATGTTCGTTGAGAAACTTTTAATCTTTGTTGTCCATGCTCACGTCAAGCAACTGTTAACTAAAACCAGCTCGACTATGTATTAGTCAATATTTTACTTCCCAAAATCATTTAAACAAACAGTATCAACAAGAAGTTTAGCATCAACTCGATAATTTGAAAAGATGGATGATTTTTTTTTAAGAACGCAATAAAAAAATCTTAATCTTTGTCAAAAAATTCACAGTACCTGTGTCTTGCGGGATTTCTCTGAACTTTACAATCTGTATTTTCCACCCCCCTTGTTAGCAAAGAAATTATATAGTATCTCATAATTATTTCCAAGGTAGAAGATCACAAGAGAAACCTGCGTTTTAAATACGAATAAAATTAAGTTTGTCCTAATCATCGGAGAAGCACATCTACTTACAAATTCTATTTTAATAAGCCTCATATAATAACTCAAAAAAAAACAAATATGCTAACCTTGATATTTGACTAAGAAAATGTATTTGTAAACTTACAAGTTTTAAATAAAATTGACCACTACGATAAATTTTTATCGGGATTTAAAGTTTTCTTAAATTTACGCATCTCTTTAAGGAACCATAGTTAATATTTTATATCAAAGTGGCTCTTCACGAATTTTGAAGTCATAGTAAACTAAAAGTAATTGAGATAACTATTCTCAATAGGATAATGAAAAAAAACCGAGTTCAATGGTAGATAAAGTAGATTTAAAGATTAATGGCTCGGAAACTTCAAAAGCTATGAGTACAGACATTATAGTAACCTCTATACCAAATACATAGATAAGTAAATTTATTTTTTTTTTATTTGGGATTCGCAAACACATGTATTTAACCTTACATTTTGAATTTTATTTTTTATTATATCCTCAATAAAGAAAAAAAATTCAATTAGCGAGTTTTGTATATTTTATTTTAAATCATTCATTTGATTACAAACTAGTTTACTTTTAATTTACTCATCGAGTTAAAGAATAATAAACCTTATCTCAATATGGACAGATGAATAAATCGATTATTTGATGGTTGCCAGTTCTTTTATTTACGCATTAACATTGGTCGATGCTTTCGTAAACTTTCAGCCACCGCGATAAAATGTTCTGTCAACTTTATCTGATTCATGGCGAGAACATATTGACATTTTAACGAGTCTTTGTCGTTCGTCTTAGGAAGGTATTCAGAAGCGATATCAGCCATTCGTTGAAGCGATTTCCCATAATACGTATGCCCAGAGCCCCCGGTAAACATAATAGTGTATAAAAAGATCGGTGATCTATTGTGGAAAATAAAACGACTTTTTAATTAAATGCTTAAGGTTAATTTTTGTAATTGATATTACCCTCTGTTCGCTTCTCTTTCGCAAAGGCGGCGTAATTCTGTTTCCGGAGCATGGTATTCACCATCCGATAAAAATATAATTACGTTCGTCCTATTGTAAGTTCGTCTCAATTAACATTTATAAAATTCATTTGAAGCCAATTAATTACTTACTTTGAAGCATCGTAATATTTATTGATAATTTCTGAAGCTTTGTCAATACCAATATTATAAAGATTATAACCACAAGGACGAAATTTCATCATCTTTGTTAATAATTCTTCATGTTTCGATAAACTTTCATTCTCGAAAGCAGTGTCAACATTATCATCGAAAAGGACCAAAGATACGGTATCGCGATCTACCGCCATTTGTCCAGAAGGTGATGCCTTTCGTGAGGAACGACGGCTATCAATAAAGGTATAAACTGCATCATACACAGCTCCGAGTCGATTGTCGTGCGATAACTTCAATCTCAAGGTGGCAGTGCTTGAACAAATTGGTTTGCAATCTTTCGAACTCATGGAACCACTTCTATCCACAACAAATACAATATGGAAGTCACCAACATTTTTTGTTGGATTTTCGCACGTAAAATGATGGCCATCAGTTGATATATAACCCGTCCGTCCAAGGGAAAAGGTTTTCGGATCGACTGGAGTGTGAAATATTTCTTGAGTACAATAAGATTTGACAGGTTCTTGACCAGTCTTCTCGTCTACATTATGATGCTTCTCATCGGCACATTCATGATCGCACTTTTTGAAATTTTCTCGATCCTCTTTCGTGTAAGGATCTATTGTAAAATAAATAAATATTTACAACTTTGTCTATATATTCATAATTGAGATGGCGAAATTTTCACAATTGGAATCCTTCAGTTTATGGAAAACCAATATCATTGTGGACAATTGCCAAATTATGTTCGAAACTTGTAACTTTAAAACTTCAAAAGTAGCAGAATTTACGTAACATTACCTTGAAACATTGTTCGTTCCCAAAATACACGGTGAGAGATATAATCCTTTTTTCGGCTAGGTTGAGGACTAATGCTCGCTGTTATTATAATCAAAATTATTATGCGGGAGATTTTAAGTATGAAATTTGGAATCATTGATTAACATTTTCTTGCCTTTGATATGTTCTAATACACCTTCTTTTCGAGAGCCTCCTTCGCTCTCACACACTCCGGGATCTTTACAAAAATCGATATGCCGATGACGACCCATATTTTCACACAACTTATAAATCATAAAAAAAAAGGATTAATTATATATATAAACCTACATTAGTTAAATATCAATACACCTACTTTGTGACAGAGAACAAAATCACCGTGATCTCCAACATTCAAACGATGTCCTATCATCATAATAAATATCAGCAAATCCATAAGTTTATAATAAACATGATTTGTATGCAAAACATACCTTCAAATTCGAATTCCTCCTCTTCACAAGTAAAGGTGGTCATAAGCATATTTCCATGGACAGTATCTGTTGACAAAATAAATTTAATCAGAATTTATTTTTGAATTACGTGAAATAAATATTTTTTTGACCACTTACAATGTTCTGTATTATGCATTCTACCGTGATCGTAAGGCAAATTGCACTAAAATAAAAAAGAATAAATAAATATATAAAAAGGTAACGTTTTTATAATAAAAGGATTACTCACATAGTAGGCACAATTCGGACACTTGATATCACAGTAATGAAAATTTTGCTTGTCATTTTCTTCTTTAATATGCTTACCCTTATCATTAGGGCATGATGTATTACATACATGTACCTTCCTTATTTCATGGACATGTTTGCCTTCATGCTCGAATTTATAAGAAGGAATTTTTTTGCAACATTGAAGCCTTTGGAACGTTTGAGAATACTATAATTGAAAGAGAATTAGTTTATACAATATTAAATATAGTATATGAAATATTACCTTTGTGAACATAAAGCTGCCAAACTTATTAACATATTCGGCTTGTTCTTTAATCATCGCGGTGGGTTCGGTTACGATTTTGCAAATCCCAATTTCTTCACAATCTTTTGGACATTGATGTTCGTTTCTATAAATTTACACATCAATTATATGCAACTTAATTTATTTCAAACTTGAATAATATTGCGTTTATTTACCCGCAAAAATGTTGTGCATCTTTCTCGAAGGAATGAAAATGGTCTCTACTTTCGCATTTTCGTTGACATTTTTCGAGTGGACATTCAATCGGACATACTTCATTTTCACATTTATGCACGGAATGATTATCTTCACAAGGAATCTTAAAATTTAAAAAATGGTTAACGAGAATTTTTAAACATTTTTCGTTAAGTGCACAAAACTTTCCGTCACGTCATTAAGATACTTACTATACATTTATTTCGGCATTCATAAACACCACTCACTTTTAACGAACATGGAGCACCACAATAATGACGACTAGCTTCACATAAATGAGTCTCATTTCCAAGAGATTTCTCATGCCCCATCTCTTTAGCACAACGGGTTTGACAACTTCGTTTTCCGGAATAAACGCAAGGTGCTCCACAAGCATGGTTTTGTGCGCAAGCATGCCTTCCTTCATGACCAGCAAACTGAACGCACTCAGGTAAAGTGCCAGTGGTATGAGCTTCTTCAAAGAAGCAACGAAAATGACATAAATGGTCCGTTAAACAATCATGGCTCATGTCTTTCTCGTTATCGTCATGACGACTCGTCTTGAGACATGCTAAGCTGCAGCTGTCACACCGGAGTCGACAAATGTTCCAGAATAGATTTAGCTTGGTTATTTCTTGTTCAAGTGCATAACTAGTAATTTTGATCTCGTTATTATCGTTAGGAAATCTCGAGGTGTTTTTATTGAACCATTGTTGAACACGACCGATACGCCTATTTATAATGAATTTTAAAAGCTTATCGTATTTTTCGATCCATTGACCGTCTGGTATTTCTCCTCGAAGGTGGATGTTTTTCTTCAAAATAAGTTCTTAAATCTAATAAACTTAATTATAAAAACTTGCCAATAATGTAATACCAAATGTTAATATAATTTACCATTTGAAAGTTCTACAAAATCTTTTCCATTCTGTAGTAAAACAAGTCCAGTATCATGCATCAAGTTAACTGACTCATCGATATCATCAAAAATCTCTGAAAGAAGTACTACATCGTCAGGAATCAAAGTTCCATCGTCACGTCCCTAATTTTTTTTTTCAAATATGGAATTTCAACTTATATTTTCAATTCTCAAATAAAAAACATCGTAAAATTATAATACCTGTAGAGGCTTAACTCTTTGCTCTAGTCCATCAAGGTCAGTATTTGCATTTTCTGGAGCTTCGTAATCAGAAAAAGGATCTTCTTCTTTTTGTTCGTAGCCGAAAGAGATGGCATCGCTAAGAAATTTCTTGATTTCTAACGCCCGCATTGTGATTAAAGTTGCTTGTATATTACCCCAATCACACACTCTGAAAGGAGCAAGTAGATAAGGTTCGGAATTTTAAAAAGAAATCAACAAGGAAAACAAAAAAGGGAAAATACAAACTTTAACTTAGTCATTAACACCTAAAATTATTAGAATATAATTTAAACTATTAGTAGCAGATAAGTTATTATTTCTTTCGAAAGTTCTTGTTAAAATAAGTATATCTCTACCTTGATTTTTTCGACAAAAGCTCTAGCATTATTATACTTAGAATCTTGAGCGTCCAGTTTAACTTTCAATTGCTTAAATGTTGTATAAAATGAGGCTTCATTGAATACTGGCCAAGGAATGATGCTCATTTTATTACGATATAATTTTGTGATGAAATTATCCTCTTCTTCCTATATAAAAATAGCACTTAATTTTTATACTCGATTATATATATATATATTTTTACAGTATAAAAAAGAAACAAATTTTACACGATCAACAATTCTTGAGAATTTAGATTGAAATTCGGCAACAATGTCTTCTCGATCAGTTTTCGCCACATCTTTAATAATGATACAAAATCGAGCCTAAATTAAATGAAAATGAGTGAGCTTCTAGTTAATATTGAAGGTTTCGATGAATATTTACTTGGAATATATCCGGATCATCACCAAAATAATTTGTACCATCTTGAAAGCGTTGAAACATTGAAGATATGTCTCGGCTAACGGCAAATTGACTCTTAAATAAAACAAGATTTGATAATGCGGCATTGAGAAGTTGCATGAAAGTCTCTTCCTGCGGAGTTCTCTCAATACTCGCTAATCCTGCAGCATTCAAAATAAAATATATGAAAATTTTGCATAAAGTTATGGAAACGCGAAAAAATACAATATTACCTTCAAAATCCAAGGCGACATAAAGAATGTCTTTGGTTTTCACTTTCAATCAAATTAATTGTGGCATTAAATACTAAAAATATTATAACTAACAAAACATAAATATTTTTTCTAACCCATACCAACTGACATCCATACTCCTTCGGTGCATCGCTAGAGAATGGAACATATTGTCAATCAGTATGAAGAGCTGAAAAATTGACTTTAAATATAATATGAGTTGCTTATAGGGATAGGGACGGTTCAAAAAGAGCGACTCCGAGTCGGTTCTGGAACCGATTATAATTTCAGCATATTCTGGTTTTCCCGAGTTACGAACCATTTTTAACCATTTTAAAATTCGAACCGGAACCGGAACCGACTCCGGACCGGTTCCAAGAGTCGGCTCAAAATCGGATTGTCAACAAATTAAAGGAAAGGTAATAATAGGACGAATTTGTTTGATAACCAGTCAAAAAAATTTTTAAATTGATCATCACATGATGCTCTACTAGTATAAATTTAACTTGACGCTCAAAGTTTTAATTTACTTATGGAGTCGAAGTAGAACCGAAGAGGAACCGAAATGGAACCGATAGAACCGTTCCCGTCCCTAGTTGCTTACCATGGCAGAACCGTCAAATGTGGATCCCACACAATGATTAAGTAAATAACTTTTGCCTTTATTAAATGAAATTCGAACAATTAAAGAATATTACAAATAATAATGATAATAATAATAATAATAAATTAAAAAGTTAAATAGATCACTTGCCACAAGATTGCTCGCCCATCGACGATATTACTTTAACTTCTAAATCTGCGTAATATTCAAAAATGGCTTCGTACCATCCAAAAGATATAGCTTTACTCACACTCCCAATTAATCCGTATCCTCCATCAAAATTGGGCTGGTCGAGTTCGGATGAGAAAACTCCATCTTGTAAAGGAACAAATTCGTTATCACGGGCAATGGCAATTTGAATTGGGATCAAGCAGAAAAGCAAGATAATCCATCTATAAATTATTCAGAATTAGAAAACGACATCTTTCTCAAAATGAAAATTATAAAATACTTACTCCCCAAAGAGATATTCAGTGCTTTCATCATCCAGAGTAAGATTCTCAAAAATTGCATACGCAGATTTAAAATGTTTCAAGTGACCTGAAGGTTTTTTGGTTTCTTTTTTAACCTTTTCGAACATTTTATCAACATACTTTCGAATTTTTGCTTCATATGTAGAAATTGTTTTAGAACTCCGAGATACGTCGACCACAAATGTTGCTTTTAAAGGCTTGTCAATTTGCCCAATAGGAGTTGTTGTTGCGTACTTTGTAAAAACCATAGCGTAAACATCAATAAGACCATTATTGGTAGTTATTTGTTCAATCCCGAAACTTAACCACTGTCCAAACTTAACATTTTCAAAACTTGGCCGAACAATCTTCAATACATTATCATAAACAATTTCGGATACTTGACGCTTCTCTTCTCCAATGATTAAATAATCACCAATACGAAAATCTCTTTTGAACATGGTATCTTTTCCCAAAATTGTTAATGATTTGTTATTTTCGATTTTAACTTGACCCAAAGTTGTATTTTGAGATTGTCGCTCAAAACGGTATTGAGTTTTAGCATGAGTTATTTTTACCAATACAGATTGAAACAAACCTCCTTGTTGATTCAGGGTGATCAAGTGAATTTGACGTTTGCCAATGACTGAAAATTGAAAGGTCTCAATTGAAGATTTTGTAAAAGGTATCACAATCACTTTTTTAGCATTTTGACTGAAGCCTTCGACAAAGTAAATGTGTGCATTGACAAAGTCTGATCCTCCTGAACCATATAGTAGTTCAGAATTAGCTTCGTTACGCTTTTCAGTATCGGAAATGGATTCGTTAATCTCTTCAGCATTATCGGAAATGGATTCGTTAATCTCTTCATCTTTATCGGAAATGGTTTTGTAAATCTCTTCAGTATTATTGGTAATGGCATCGCTAATCTCTTCAGTATTATCGCATGATGCTTCGTTGTTAACACGTTCATTCTCAGCGTCCGAGATGGGTGCATCCGTCATTTCAATATCATTTAATTCCTCTTGCACTGTGGTAAAGGCAACAATACAGGAACCATCCGAAGTACTCAAGATTTTTGTAGCCGAAGGCGGAAAATCAGCGATTCCGGGACGAAAACTATCATTAATTAAACTATAAATCTTTGCTCTGCCAGTATTTTCAACAAAACAAATGTCTTCAGTATTTCTTATGAAAAGAAAATGGGCGATTTCAGGAGCAATATCATTATAATATTGCAATAGTATAATATTCCTATAGCGCAAATTGAGATTTGTTTGATCATAATCGACACCATAAACATTGAGCTGAAATAATTTTTTTATCAATTAATAAATCATTGTATAAATAATACTAATAATTAAAACATACATACCAAAGCCTTTTCAGGGCTATAAATTGCAATTAACCCCTTTGAATCATTAATGGCAATTTTCGAATTGGGACCAGAATTTAATTTTTTAATTGGAGTTTGCAATTCGATCATCTTTGGCAGACGTTGTAATGAATCAAAGTAAAGTTCCATTTTATTGCCATATTTAACTTTGTTCCACAAAATTACAAGGAACTTTTTATCAAATTGTGATATGTTACTATAAGAAAACAGAGAATAATTTATTTATTCTTATATATTAGATAAATGTTAATTGTATAGTAGTGCGACACTTACATAAATTCATATGTTTCGGGATCAATTTCAAAAGAAACACCTGGATTTCGACCCGAGCTATGTAGTAAAGGCGTAGGTATGAAGAATTCATCTTTTTCTAATTCCATAGAGTCTTCCTGGCTAATCCTTGTTCCATATATGGTAATTCTTAACTGTGCTGGATGTAGGGTCTCTGTCTCTCTAAAGAGTCGATATGATTCAGTATTCCAATAAGAAGCTTTAATATAAATATATATATTGGATATAAGTTGCTAGGACGTGTAAAACTAAATTGATACGCAAATAAACACTTTTCTTACATATTTTTTCAAGGCCTTTTATTTTTAAAAGTTCTCCTTCGGGATACATCTTATTGACTTCAGAACAAATACGAGCCACTTCGCGAATTTCAAGTTCATGTTCTTCATGATTAAACTCGCGATCTAGCTCCCATGAAAATCGCGTACTGGGATGCTTTGGTAAAATCTTCTGAATACTATTTAGAAGATTTCTTTTTCGCCAATTAACGTATTCGTCATAAAAAGCATTAACAATTTGTTCGTCGTGGGAAATATTTTTAACAAATTGACCGTCAGAAATCTGAGATGCCTCTTCTTTGATTTTCTTCACAATATCATTTGTCTTTGAAGGTTTAAACAATGATGTACTCCACGAGTTCGTGGTTTTTTTGTACTTTTTGACCAGGTTATAAATGCTGGTCGAATTATCGGAAAAGATTTCCAAAAAATATTGTCTTTGGTCCGAAATTGGTTCGTAACTAACGTCTTCGGCATTGTTTTCAGAGAAATATTTTGCAAGATGAAAACGACACTTGAGATCTATCCATGGCTCGTGGTCGATGAACTTGATGACTTCTTCCAATTTTGATACAATTTCAGGATAATTTTCCTGAATGTATTGGATATCTAGAAAGAAGAATTATTATAAATTAAAGTCCGGCAATGAATATCCGGTGGAATAATATACGGTATAACGATATACATCAACAGACCATCTTCTTCTATGACATCTTTATGATAGATTTGAATAATTAGATAAAATATTTAAACGACAATTCTAAAATAAATAAATAAATAAATAGCTTACCATATTCTCCATGCAAATATTTCTCGAATTCGCTTTAATAAAATAAAATAATTAACATAATTTATCATGTTAACCATAATAAATCGAAAAATCAAATATTTAATTACCTATATTCTAATTTGAGCATGTGCAATGCAAGTTTCTCTATAAGCAAGGCATCTTTTTTAATTATTTTTATTTGTTGCTCTTTACGCTTAAACTTCTCCTGGTCGAGTTTATCCAATTCATCATAATATGGTTGAAGAATCTCTTCTAACCCTAATCCGTCTTTGACAATTACTTCAAGGTTTGACATTTTTAGGTTGGCGTCTAAAATTAGGGCACATTTTTGAGTTTCTAGTTTACTTTTGAAATATTCGCGAAAAAGATAGGTCGATTTAAATAGTATGGTGCCGCTCCCGGTAAACTTGGTTTCGGGAATAATTTCACGCGTAATGAAGGTTTGATTTGATACAGAATCGACCACCAAAGAATTCAATGGGATATTATTGAGATAATCACTTCTTGGGGCTTGGCGTGGCTCCAATCCTGAAATATTGACCTTATAAAGAGTTGTTATTTAATATAAATATAAAAGACAAGTTTTTACATCTCTTCTCTGCTAATAGATTTAACACAATAAACTTTCGGATTAAAAATTTACAATAAGACGAATTGACGTGAGAAACTTTTTTTGTTTTAGCTTTTTGCGAATTAATGATCCTTAGGCAATAGTGAATCAATCAAATTATCTCAAGTATTGGAAAGAACGAAAGTTTTGACTCACTCTGAACCCAGGAAAAATTTCGAAATCTTCCTTTTGCTCTTGGCTTTTCTTGACTTCGAAATCATAGCATAAGCCGTCGTCTTCATCCTCTTCTTCACTATCGTAATCATTTTCTTCATTCGAGATTATTTGCCAATCTATACATTCCAGATCACGTTCGCTCATTAAACAAATTTGACGGTCAGTCAATTTTGTGAGGTATCTGAAAAAAATCAATTACATGATAAGTTGGAAAATGTAGCGTGTTATTAAATAGTTTAAACCATGGCATGGTTACCTATGTAAATTTGTCATATTCTTCTTTCTATATGAAGATGCAGAATCATCATAACAACCATTTTCGCTCCAATGAATGACCAAAAAAAGAGGATTCGCCTTTTCAGTCTTTTCAATAGATAACACTTGTTGAAGATAAATTCCTGGCCGGAGAGAAGGCATAACTTCACGTGAAAGATTATCAGCAAACGATAAAATAATCGATTCATAACTGGTAAAATGAATAAATTTATATATATATTAACCATTTAAAAAGAAGTAGATAATATCACATATTAAAAGAGTAAAAACTTACTTTTCCTTATTGATAATATCCTTAACGAGCAAAAACTTTGCAATTAGTTCATTGCGGCCATAACACCCCACGAGCCGGATTGAACGGGAATTCAACTTTTTGTAATTTATCTTTGAGATGGACTTGAAACTATTTGGCATTATCTCATTGCAAAGACGCTCAATATCTTGTTGAGATATAATTATCTTATCAACTGTAATATCAAAAGGATTTCATGAGTGGAATATTTGAAATAGAAGATTCAAACAAGATAGGTTCTTTACCAAGTCCATTGGAA